CCTACAAAGTCTTCATTGCTTTCACATTAATTTTTTTTTTATTATTATTTAGGGAGCATTATAAATAGTTATGTTTTTAAAGAAAAAAACACTATTGTTATAAATAACACATTCAATTGAACTAAACTATGCATGCCTATTTAAATATATTTACACAAGGCTTGTGTATATCGTATATATACATATGTATTATTCATACCTTCGGTGTATAGGACGCAAGCAAATTTTGACATCAAATTTTGGGGTAAAAAGTGCGTCTTATACACCGTGGACCAGCATGGCCAGGTTGTTAGAGCGCTCGACTCGCAGTCTGTGGGTCGCGGGTTCGAATCCCCATCACACCAAACATGCTCGCCCTTTCAGCCGTGAGGGCGTTATCGTAATCCCACTATTCGTTGGTAAAAGAGTAGCCCAAGAGTTGGCGGTGGGTGGTGATGACTAGCTGCCTTCCATCTTGTCTTACACTGCTAAATTAGGGACGGCTAGCGCAGATAGCCCTCGTGTAGCTTTGCGCGAAATTCCAAACAAACAAAAACACGGTAATACCAAAAAAAAATCTTTATTACGGACGTTTCGGAATTTACTTAAGTTCCATCATCAGCTTTAATATATCAAAAAAATGGGTTCATAATATTCACCATTATGTATTACCTTCTCACGGTAAAGACTTCTAAACTTATAATTCCTCGTTTCATATTTGTGCGCTTCAGCTAAAATACATATTATAAGGATGTATTGTTTTTAATTTCACGTGGAAGTAACACAGTTCGTTGTGCTTATCTTTCTCTCAAAATAAGATAAGAAGATAAACCTTTGTTGTAGGGCACTTGTCCTCAAACAAATCGTTCCAAATAATGCTGTTACTTAGCAATAAATATAACATTTTAATCCTATAGATTATCCATTATTGAAATTACCTAATATTTAAATTTCATTTAAGTCCTAGCTGCACGTCTCTGTACTACAAAACTCAAAAGAAGGGCCTATTTTTTGTCTCATCACACACATTTGCTCCTTGCCAAAAAACTCTGATTTGAACAATATTTTTTCTCAGTTTTGGAATTCATAAAGAAAACATGTTGTTATATTGTCTGTAAATTTAGAGTTATGTCATAAGTTTAATTTCGATACATACGTTCTTATTGTTTAATAACAACAATATTTATTTCATTTTCAAGGCGGGATCAGCGGAAGAAATGATAAAACTTTTGAGAAACACTTTTCGTTGTCATTTCTCCTCTGAGCAAGGCTGTGAAGAAGTAGCTTTGTTTGGATGGGTCCTTCTTCTGCTGTATTCTGTGTTTCTTCCGCTCTTGCTGGTGGCGCTCCATATTTTCCAAGATCTTCCTCAACTGATGGCTGTAGAGACTTTGGCTTTACCGCTTAGTATTATCTGGTGTGGTGCTGAGCATAGTTTTAGAGTCGAGACGGGTTTTGCGCTGATAGGTCTTTTACTGATGAGCGTTTCTATCCTGATTTATCGCCAGTTCAGTGAACCCAAATCAACGGCCAAGTACGTCTGCCTTGAACAAAGTTAATCGGTTATTTTTGAGCCACAATATTTGTTATTTTAATATGAATGAAAGCTGATCTGAAAATTTTCTATGACATCTCAAAACTACCTACAAACACAAACTTAGAAAGTGTGAATGTGTGAAACGGGTTGGAGTGAAAACAGTAAAATAATATCTCTGTTCAAATTTCATATCAATACGTTTTTATTTTTTTTGGAAACCTGGTTAAATACAAGGAGAGAGTAGTGGATTATAACAAATGTAAGAACAGCCTGAAATAAACAAATAACCAAATATTTAATCAAACTACACAAAAATTGTAAATCAACGTTACACGACCATTTACAATAAGAATAATAAAGTCTGTATTAAGGTGTGATTTTTATACACCATTTCTTAAATCTCTTTCTTCCTCAATAAAACTTGAAACTGATTACCTTCAAGCTAGCTCTATTTCTCAGCTGTAAGGCCCTCAAGCTAGCCCTATTCTCGACTGTAAGGCCTTCCAGCTAGCTCTACTTCTCAAGTGTAAAGCCTTCAGGCTAGCCCTAATTCTCAGCTGTAAGGCCCTTAAACTATTCCCAATTATCAGCTGGAAGGCCCTTAAACTATCCCTAATTATCAGCTGTAAGGCCCTTAAGCTATCCCAATTATCAGCTGTAAGGCCTTTCAGCTAGCCCTAATTCTTAGTTGTAAAGCCTTCAAGCTAGACCTAATTGTCAATTGTAAGGCCTTCCAGCTAGCCCTAATTCTCAGTTGTAAAGCCTTCGAGCTAGACCTAATTGTCAACTGTGAGGCCTTACCAGCTAGCCCTAATTCTCAGTTGTAAAGTCTTCAAGCTAGACCTAATTGTCAACTGTGAGGCCTTCCAGCTAGCCCTAATTTCCAGGTTTTGTAAACCTTTTGATATCATAATATGAAAAATGTTAAACTCGCATGTAGCTGAAAATTGCAAGTTCAGGTTTTATCAGTCCTCATTTACCCATCCAGTCTACAATAAGCAATAGCATGGGTCTAGGGTAAAAAGTTTGATTAATGTAACGTTTTCCTGTATGCTTTTTCTTTTTTGGCAAGAATATCTCTTTTTATATGTTCATTATAAAATAATCTTAATAGAAATACAAGAATATTAATACATCCTCAGTAATTATTATCATTTCTTTATAAAAATAGAAAAGCATAAATATCAGATATAATATCCATTATAAATGTGCTAAATCCTTTTAATTTAATAATATCAGTCCCCCAGTATGTTAGCGGTAAGTTCGATTCTCCACTAGTGCAGATAGCCTATTGTGTAGCTTTGCGCTAAAAACGAACAAACAGTGATATCAAAATCACGTAGAAGGTGGAAATATAAAAACACCAAAACTGGATCAAAAAATCACGTAGAAGGTGGAAATATAAAAAATAATAATGATTTTGTTAGAGTCCAATAAATCCAGTTTTAGTGTTTTTATATTTCCACCTTCTACGTGATTTTGATCCAGTTTTGGCGTTTTTATATTTCCGCCTTCTACTTGATTTTGATCCAGTTGGTGTTTTTATATTTCCACCTTCTACGTGACTTTGATCCAGCTTTGGTGTCATTAGACGCAAGGAGCGGCAATCATAGTGCAGTTCTGACAGGGAAATTTTATGGTAACTATCTCGTTCAAGAATTGATAACTCTTGAAATTACAGATCTCAGTTGATTTCTGTTGAGTTTGAGCAAAATTGGAAGAAAATTATCGTCATATATGTACAAAATGAAGAATGTAGCTTTCCTGTATCTAAAAAAAAAATGTTTGACTATTCTGTAATTATATGTATAGCAGTACGAAGAGTATTACGTGAGATGAAAACTGTTAATTGTATCAAAATAAGTAGCCTAAGATGAATAAACGTAATACGTTTTTGTGATTTTATTTAAGTTATGTTTGATCTGCCATGTATATATATATATATATCTGGTATGGTTATAAATGTGATAATAAATAATAACGATAATGTTCGTCACTCTTTTATACCCTCAGCTTGTTTTCGGATAACGAGATTTCCTGGTTTTTAAAACGTTGAAAGAAGTTTCCCTGGTGATACGTTTAGACATGAAATATTGTCTCAAAAAGGATGGGAGCCTTCATGAAAATGATAAATCCTTATTAAATATTTAAACAGAACTACAACAGATGTAAGTACGCGATAATAATCAACACTACGAAACAGTGAAGAGAACATTTTAAACAAATTTCAACATTAATTAAGAATTAATTAATATGTAGCACCAAAACAACGTTGGGGCCATTCCGTCTTTCCACTTATCAAAAAAGATTACAAACGCAGTTGAAAAACCAGTATGAAAAAAAAGACATAATCAATTTACAAGCATTTTTTTAAAGGGTGAAACTCATGTGAACAAACCACAATCAATTTTTTTTAATCACACATCCCAGCTTAGCATGGTCAGGTGGTTAGGGGGCGCTTCACTCGTAATCTGCGGATCGCGGGTTAGAACCTCCATCACTGAACATGCTCGCCCTTTATGCCGAGATGTATTATAATGAAACGGTCAATCCCACTATTCGTTGGAGTAGTCCAAGAGTGAGTGGTGTTGACTAACTGCCTTCCCTCTAGTCTATCACTCTAAATTAGGGACGGTTGGCGCATTTATCCTTCGTGTAGCTTTGCGCGACATTTTGGAACAAACCAAACTGATGACACGTCCATTGTCAATGGCCAGTTATGAGAAAATCATCCACAATTGGAAAATTGTAACTCTCTTCAACCAACATGAACGTCCTTTTCTCGGCTACCAAACCATTTACAGGAAATAGCTTTTCCAGATGTATGCTGTATATGAAACGTCAACTCTTACGCCACTACTCAAAGTATAATATATATAGTTCATAAACATGTAACTTCTTTAGTAAGCAGTCAAAATATGAAACCTTAATATATATTTAAAACTTTGGAACTTTGAATCTATAGTGGTAGATGTAAACATTCTGGATTATCAATCAGTATACGTATAGTATTGTAAACTAGCTGGAGTACCCGTCCCCTGGACGGAAGTTATATAAATTCATGATTAATAAAGGTTATCCTAGGACACGTAAAGCTGCTTCCCTTATATGTAATTGTAAAAAAAAAAAAAAATAGCCAATAAAAACTACAAGACACAAAGCGTGAAACTGCTAATTTGCATTTATCTCCGCATTGACCCAACAAACCTTCATGCCGATTTTTGATGAAGATCCATCCAAAGGAGGTGAGGTAGTGTAAAAAAAACCGCAAAATGAAAAATTGGAAATTTCTATGCATCTCCCCATGGACCAATGAACCTCCATACCAAATTTAGTGAAGATCTAACCATTGGAGGTGAGGTAGTGGTAAAAACGCCCAAAAAAACCGCAAAACTAAAAATTTGTATGTACCTAATGAACCTCCATACCAAATTTAGTGAAGATCCAACCATTGGAGGTGAGGTAGTGGTAAAAACGCCCACAAAAACCGCAAAACTGAAAATTTGTATGTACCCTCGCATGAACCTCCATACCAATTTTGGTGAAGATCCATTCACACCCGAAGTAGTTACTTGGACATACAACAGACAATACTATTATATTTATATAGATTTACGGCATATATATTATGCTGCCATCTAGGGAGAATTTATAAAAGCATATAGATAATTATTACTTACAATGTAAACGAGGCCCGGCATGTCCAGGTGGTTAGGGCACTCAACTCGCAATCTGAGGGTCGCGGGTTCGAATCCCTGTCATACCAAAAATGCTCGCCCTTTCAGCCGTGGGGGCGTTATATGTGACAATCAATCACATAACAATAATAACATATACATACCCAAAAGCGCCAAGTAAATTTTTAGTATAATTTTCATTCTTTTTTTTTGTTATGATCTGAATAATATTAATAATATTATTAAAATAATATGAAATAAGGTTATAAAAAACACAGTTCTATAACCAACTTAATTATTACAAGTGCATTAATTATAAGTAATTAGGAGTTAAGTATCGACAATATCAACAAAGTCTGGGAAACCTGAAGTTGAAATCTCTCAAAACATAAGATCTGAGATAATTATAAATTTAGGCAAGAAAAATTGTCAGTTGTATAGTTTGCACAATCGTATTGTGCCCATATTAATAGAAACAGTGCATTAGGCAAAATCAAATATACTATGAATATGATTATTTTGAGACATCTATTTTTGGCCCGGCATGGCCAGGTGGATAAGGCGCTCGACTCGCAATCTGAGGGTCGCGGGTTCGAATCCCACCAAACATGCTCGCCCTTTCAGCCGTGGGGGCGTTATAATGTGACGGTCAATCCTACTATTCGTTGGTAAAAGAGTAGCCCAAGAGTTGGCGGTGGGTGGTGATGACTAGCTGCCTTCCCTCTAGTCTTACACTGCTAAATTAGGGACGGCTAGCGCAGATAGCCCTCGTGTAGCTTTGCGTGAAATTCCAAAACAAACAAACAGACATCTATTTACCCTTTATGCTTTCGTAAGTTAGCACTGAAGTCAAAACTAGTCATGATGACACTTATTTATGACTGATATGATATGAAGTTTGGAGAGTTGAGAAAATTGAGATTTGAAAATGATTAGGCTATAGGGGTAACGGTTGATTTAAACATTTAAATTTTCAGAAACACGTTTATTTACAGATAAAGTTCTTCTCCACCATTCTGAATAAATGGTGAAATAATTTGTCTGATAAGTTGGTGTGTGCTGTGATGTAAACCTTGGTTCTTTGAGATTTTGTTCAGTTGGATTTACACACACAATTTTTGTTTGAATACTTTTTCTTTTTAGAGATTGATATGTGATCCGAATAGATTAACTAGTCATCTGTCATCTAGGCTAAATATTTCATATGTATTTATAACATTTAATCGCAGCCCTAATGGCTTTAATTTTATTTTCATTATATTGTTATCAACAGCAGTTTTTCTGTAAATGTTAGTCCTCAAAATAAAACAACTGAAGGCGCTATTAGACTAGCAAGATGGCTCCTTGTTTTCATAGTCGTAGCGGTCGGATGGTTACTCTTAGCAATGGAAATCGAACAGCCGAAAGAATTCGCCCTCTTCAAGAATTCAATAACGGTTTAGTGATGAGCGATGAACCTTTACGTGACAACCAATTATTTGAAGTTCGCATTGACAGGAAGGTTAGTAACCTAATAGTTAATCCACTTGCTGTTACTAACAGTAAGTTGAGTAACATTAGTAAGTAACAGTAACAGTGTTTTCTGTTTGATTAGTAACTAATATTGTAAATCAATTCTAGGTTCTAGTTCTCGTTAAGTTCCACGTAACGTCTTAAGTTCTGATTTTATAACTTTTTTTTTTTACACAAGATGTGTATTAACACCTGACAATCGGCGGTTCTAACTTCTACATCACAACCGTTTTTAATTTACTATGTCTGTCACGAAAACAGAGCCTCAGTTTTCCCTTGTAGTTTTAGTATACTACTATGCGTTTTCTTAAAACTCCATTTTTCCTTTTAAACCCCGAAACATTACTTTAGCATTAATCTGTCACCTGATGATGACAAAACCTTGTCAAAACGTTGTACATTTGCTGTCATGTTAAAGTTATATTAAAGTTTTTCTTCATTACCCATTTAAGCCGTCTCCAGCCATTATTAGTCTCAAAGTGGGTTCCTCGTCATCGAATTTAAACTAGATATATAATATATCCAGCTAGGTGATTGGAGGAGTGCCATAAGGTTATCAAACAGGTTCTGGGACAGAACCCCAGCTGAGAATGCATTTCATACAGTTTTGGCATCACCCTGTATATTTTGGGTTTGTTTTTATATCTTTGCAAGCCAGTTGTTTAACCAAAATCCTCATATTATGATGTGATCAGAGATATCGTTATATATATAGTAAGAATAGTAAAACAGCAACATGTAATGAAATGTACTTTATTCGTGAAACTAACAGCTAGCCACGAGTATGTACGTCCAAACGTAACAACAGATTTGTATAAAAACTGGAACTTGTCTTTTACTACTCCATTGGACTTCAAGCTATGAGTTAGTAATTTTTAATGTTCAAAATTATAATTTCAGGTTGATACATGGAGTGGATCCATTGAGATTGGAGTGACTACACAGGACCCTAGTTCCCTTACTTTCCCAACCAGTGCCACAAATTTGAGAGAAGGATCTTGGGTCATGTCTGGGTTATCAGTGCTACAAGATGGTCATTCTTTTCTGGAAGAATATGGTAGTGACCTTGACAAGCTAAAGGAAGGGGAACGAGTTGGAGTGATGAGAACATCTAGTGGTGATCTTCAGTTCTTTGTTAACGGTAGAAACCTTGGAGCAGCCGCTACTAACATTCCACAGCGAGTATTTGCTGTTATAGATATGTATGGAAAATGTGCTCAAGTGACTCTGATTGATAGTACAGAGGCTCGTAAGTGACTTTTAGATATCTAAGAAATCCTATTCCTCAAGAAAAGTTTTTGTATCATTCAGGAAAGTAGGTTGCTGAATGTCCGTCTTCTTCAATTAATTATTATACTGTACTAAATCCCATTCTTACATTATTTTTGGAAATCTCAGCTAAGACTATAGATTATTAATTGTGTATTGAACTTGTTATAAAGATGTAACCATTTTTCAAAGTTGCTGTATCTGTTGCTAAACAGTAATATTTTACTGGCTATTTACTTTCCATCCCTCTAAAAAAGTGGTTCTAATTGTGAGGTTAGAATGACTAATAAATTCCAGCAGCTGTTACTAGGTGTGTCTATGGTAACAAAAATAAAAAAGTAATGATTTCAGTTTACGAGCATTTCCCCCAGATTCCTCACTAACACCAAAACAACTATTGTAGTAAAGTAATGCCACAGAAGATCTTACAGTAAAAATGTCTCACACATTGAGCAAAGGAAAAAACAAACGTTATATTTACAAAGTCATTGTAAACAAAATCCTGTAGTTAAAATGATCATTTCTTCAAAAGCTAGATGGCTTATGGTTATGGGAACTAAATCTTTTATTTTAGTATGTTTCAATTTCAGGTAAATTTGTGCAGAATTTGAACATTGGAAAAAGCTTTTGTGTACCTCTACTCTGTTGAATATAACTAATTTTGAAATTAAAAAAATGTTTATTCACGTTCATCTTTGGTGGTTTTTCATGTTTTTATTTGAAGCATTTATTTTTTTTATAATATCCACTTTTTTGTGGTTTTTGTTGTTGTCATACCTTTATATCAAAAGGATTGAATTTAGTGTTTGTATTTAAAACAAGCTCATGATAATATGTGTAAAATTATATTGTGAGCTCTTCAATGATCAGAATAAGAATTTTTAAAAATTCACAAAATAAATACAGTATTCTGATAATATTTGTAATGAAAATTAGTTAATGGTAGCTCTCACCCCATACTAACTTAGCAGTTAGTCCTAAGGCTTATAACACTAAAAACCAGGTTTAAATACCCATCGTGGGCACAGTACAGATAGCCCATTGTGTAGTTTTGTAGTTAACAGCAAACAAAGCATTGCATCTATGTAATTAAACTTACCACTGCTAAATTTTATTGATATCTAATGTAGTAGACATTTTATAGTTCATTTCATGATAAGTAAAAAATGTATATGATGTGATTTTTAGTTTGTTTGTTTTTTTCTTCCCAGGGCTCTTAGCAAATGAAGTCAGCAATGAATACATTGCTGCCGGTCAGATTCAGAGCAACACGTGGGAAAGTCGCCTGCAGTTTCACGAACATTGCGGTTCTCTTGTGAAACTATCAAACAACAATAGAACAGCAGAGAGGAAGAAACCAGCCGACGAGTTTAATAATGGTGTGGTCATGACCAATCGACCATTGAATGAAGATGAATTATTTCAGGTACAAACAGTTCAATAAGTGAGAACGTTTTGTTCTGACAAAAAACAAAAAGATGCATATTATAAAATAAATGACGTATGTGGGTTTTTATTTCACATTATTTCTAAAGAACCACATAATTTGAAGAGTGGTTGAAGTATAGAAAAGTGTGCAGTAAAATATCATGAGATGTATGAAGAAAGTTTCTTAAATACTTGAGCCAATAAAGATACTGAGAAAAAGACATAATCTAAAGAACATCAATTATTAGACAGTCTCTAGATTCGTATTCCATTGTTGTGCCTAGATTGTTGTCTGAATTAATAAAGACAAGTAGACAACATGATAAACATATTAATGCAGTAGTCAGTGTGCTTTGAGTTTTTAAAAATAAGCCATTCATAGATTAAGATTGGTGTATTTTTTTTACAGATAAGAATAGATGAACTTGTAAATAACTGGTCAGGGTCAATTGAAGTTGGGGTTACTACTCACTGTCCAGACACCCTTGAGTTCCCAGCCACAATGACCAACATGAGGTCAGGTGAGTCAGATGAAGTAGAAAATTTTATGTTAAATAAAACTGCATGTGTTATATCACTAAACTTCACCTAGACTAGGCTCAGTTAATATTCCCCATGTTGTTTGATTTTCGAGATGATTATTACATGCAAGTCATCTTGAAAATTAACAGACATGTCTGCTCAAAGAAACTGTATAGCACTGTTTTTTTGTTTCTTTTTTATAAGATTGGAAAGAGAAACAAGTAGAATATGGGATTACCAAATCACTGATGTTAAATTTTTGTGATATTAAAATTAGTTTTTCTTGTCAAGTTTTTGTACAAAAACATGTCATTGTTCACACTGTAGGTACCATCTGAATGCTGCTGGTCTCACTGAACAATACTCTTAAAAGTTTTTGTGAACTGCATAGAACCCTAAAATAGGAACCAATTTAACTATGTTGTATTTGGGCAACTCAAAAACCCAACTTTAGCCGATTAAGGTAACGATTTAACGTAGGATAACTCGACAGTTTAAGATGTATATAAATTAATTGATCGTAGAATATAACGTACATAATGAAGTTAACAGATTGTAACTAAAACTAACAAATCATTCTTATTATACAATGGAAATTATATAAACGTGTAATTATTTCTCACGGCACCAGAAGCGTACATATTAACGTACATAATGAAGTTAACAGATTGTAACTAAAACTAACAAATCATTCTTATTATACAATGGTTATGTGTAATTATTTCTCACGGCACCAGAAGCTTTTGGCATCTGTCGTACGATTGATTGCTGACATACCGCTGTTCTACGTCATATCGCATCTCCTAATTACTGGTTCTACAAGTATAAACAGCAAACATTTCTGTCTGTAGGGAGTTTATTTCTCAGTTTTGTAAGGCATCATTTGGGCAAGTAAGGGGAAGCAAGCATCACAATGTATTATTAAAAATGATAACTTTGGAAACAATTTTCATAAATTAGTGGTTGAAAACAGTCATTGAAAGGACATTATGATAGTGTTGCTTTTTATTTGGTCTATGAGGTAAACAGTATCAATAATCTCCAAAAACAATTTTAATTATGTATATCGATTATTATTTAACTCTAGCTGTTTTATGTGTGTGAGGCAAGGTGTTATGTTTACCGGTACTGCAGTACCACTGGTGACAGGAAGTCACAACTTTCACAGGAAACTGGGCAAGAGGAACCTCTCGCAAGATTTATTGGCTGCTGGAAACTCCCTTGGGAAAAATATAGTAAAATAAAAAACTTTGTGCAGCCCCATATTGTGTACAAGCGGGTATCACAGGAAGTTTTGATTGAAAATTCTGAGGTGACAGGAAGTTTCAGAAAAAATATCGTTCTGGTGTGAGGATGCCCAGGAGATGAGAGGGTGCTTTATTATTATTTTATTTTTTATAATATACTTTTCAAAAAGAGTTTTTGTGATTACTTCACTAACAGTTTCTTTTTCCTTCAACTTATACCAGGGACTGTGATGATGAGTGGATGTGGGATTTTGACCAATGGTAAAAGTAGCAACCAGTATTATGGAAAATTTAACTTAGACGAACTCCACGTAAGTATTTATATTACAGGACTTTTTTCAAGTATTATAAAAACGGAAACTGTACCAGTGGTTTGTCTTTGTACACATGTGTAGATACATTTGGTCACAGTTTCTAAAAATTAAAGGTGTATCATGTAATGAAAGGATTAGGAAGCTGACAAATGGTGATGCAGTATTTATTTCAATACCAATATAATCAATAGTGAACCAATACAATCAATAGTGAACCGATATAATCAATAGTGAACCAATAGAATCAATAGTGAACCAATACAATCAATAGTGAACCAATGCAATCAATAGTGAACCAATACAATCAATAGTGAACCAAT